CTCTTTATAAGCACATTTATTTTAAAACCAACTATTATAAACATATAGAAAAAAAACTTCTTTATAAGCACATCTTAATAAAATTCTCTTTACAATCACACAAATCTTTACCCCGAGGGGTGTAATTATAAGGAGATTAGACTATAAATATTTAGAATAAATAACTCATAAAAATTTATTATTTTACTTATATGAACTTTTCAATCTAAATAAATAAAAGTCTAAGTAACATGATATTATTAAGCATTATAAACTTATTGACAATTAATTTAAAACTATACCTATCTATATAAATCAGAAAAAATTTAGCTATTAATTTTCTAAAGCAATGCTACATATATTAACGAAATATATAAACGTAATCTTACGTAAGATATTACGGTCTGTAATATTGCGTAAGAATTACAGTCTGGGCAAAATATTGCGCAATTTATTATAGAATATTTCACAATTTATTATGGAATATTATGCAATTTATTACGAAATATTATATAATTTATTGCGGAATATTTCAAAATAATTGCAGAGGTTTTAAAATTTGGTACTCATAATCAATCTATATAATTTGAATTCAGGTCCAATATCAATGATATATCAGATATATAATATTGCTATAATATTTATGTATAAGAGTTTTAATAATTTATTATATCATAATAAGTAAAAATTTTTATTTATAATTATTATTCATGCTATAACGTACAAACTAAAAATCAAAAAACTCTAACTAACCTAACCCTAACCTTAATTAAAACGAAACAATAATAATGACCCTAATCCTAACCTTAACTATAACAAACTCAATAGTGACAAACCAAAAACTATCATATAGTGCTAATAATAGGCACAAAAACCAGAAAAAAAAAGCCTTAACAACAGTACCGAATACAATAATGATGACGCCAAATGCAGCAGCACCAAAAACAACAAATTTACACAAAGTCGACTCCAAAAATGATTTAAGTGTGCTTCAATGGCAACTATGACGATTCTAGGAATGATTTAACTGTATTCCAACAACAGTTATAGTAATTATTAGAGTTTCTTAAGAAAGCCCAAAGGCGCTTTAATAGTACCTAAAAAACAAAGAAGATGTTAAAACACATTTACAAGCAGAAATAACAAAGTAATGAACAACAAAATAATGCATCCCACAATTCTCAAAAAAAACGAATAATCTACCAAAGGTGGTGAAATCTGGTGCCAAAAATAAAATCATGCTCACTATTTGCAATGAGAAACTAGCACAACAACTCTAGTACAACTCTATTACCAAAACGCAACACCAAAACCAACAAGGCACCAAAACCGACGATATTCAACAACAAAATCACTAACACCACTTAACTTGTACAGTACGGTAGCAAGAAGCTAGCATACAATATCAGCTACCAAGTCACCAAAAAGCAACTCCAGCGAAGCCATGTTGACGACACCCAACGACGAAACTGTTAGCACCACTTAACCAGCATAATATAAATTGGAAAAAAAATTATTACGTTGGTGCAGTAGTGTCGGATTAAAAAAACAAAAAACTGATGATAATCATCATAGATGATCAAATATTTATATTCCCGTGATCAACATAATCATGAGGTATACCATTATATATACCATTATACAACAAAATTTATTAAATATTTTAAAGGATGGAAATTGTGTTTGATCTAATATAAACATTTCAGCTTAAAGCTACATCATATAAAGATATGATTGGGTGGATTTCTTTTAATAGACTAGATAATGTTCAAAAGTTGGTGAAAGGAGATTTGGCCCAGTGTTTTTAGCAACGTGATTGGATAGTAAAAGAATAATATTAAAAGAAGAATTATTTGAAATATCTGCTCACAATCATATATACCGTTATATATAGTTGTACTTAAGACATTACCAGGTTCACAAATGAATTTTTTAAGAGAAGTAAGTTAAAATGGTTTATTTTTGATCTGATACAGATAAATTATTTAACATTATAAATTTTATTTAACTAGTTCAAAAGTTATATAGAAT